CTCGCGTAGCCTCTCTTCCACCGGTTCAAAGCCTGAACCTGAACCCGATCCCTCTCCTGAGCTACCAACTACTAGCCTCTGTCATAGTACCACCATTCTGCAATACATAACGGCAACCGTTAGTGATACTGATACATCTTGAGGAATAACATCCACTTCAAGTTCCCCAGTCTTCCCTCAACCTTCCTCAGTTCGTGTACGAATCCTCTACTTTCAGTAATACGGGCCAATACTACCTTCCACATCTATCCGTACCTCCCTCAAGGACTTCCTTGACTCCACCAAGTCCTTTTTTCCCTTGCTGATCTCAGTTATTCTCATCCTAGGCTTACCCTAGGGAAAATCTATGACTCCACCCAAACCGACCCTCAGCTGCTGAAGGCCTCCTAGTAATGCCAATTAGCCATTACCTGAATACAATCACATGTAATGAGGCTCAGATAATCCTTTGAGTAAAAGACTTGTCCCCACAACGGTTAGACTCAAACGAGAGCTGCACAATAGGGCCAACTCCAGCACTCTGAGATTATCCAACCCTGATCACATGTGATGTGACGTATTCACCTAATGGCTAACTCTCATCATTCAGAGTACCACAAAGCACAAAGCAAGAAACATTTGGATGTAGGAAAATTCCTCAAGCAAATTTTGTTCTAATGGTGAGAAACTGCACTAGCATACAATGCTGAGCTCATACTACCAGACATAACCTAACATGCAATCCTATTACTGTCTACTCAATACTAGCATGCAATTCTCGTAAGCTGAAGCACATAAAGTAGGCAGAAAAGGCATCATTCCTAGATCCTTAGTCCTATTATAGCATGTTGTTCTACTGAACTGATAAACATAATATAAACGTTGTATGGCTACTTTGGGGAATACTTACATGAGCTCGGCCGGTTCCGCACACCACACACTTTGTTCTTTCTCAAAACTCTTTTATATTATCTTTTAGGAAACCATTCTTCTTGTAAAAATCTTTTAGGAAACCATTCCCTCAAACCAAGGCTCTGATACCAACTTGTAACGACCCAATTTTCAAGTACAAAAATTTCTTTTTAAAATAACCAGTTCATAAAAACATTCATAAGAAAATACTGTGAAATCACATCGTTTCATAAAACAATGTATCACGTCTGAGAACCCAAGTCACAAAATAATAACATGTCATAGTACAATCCCAGAATATCCATAGTGCGGAAAACAAACAGTATGTGTATA